ATATATATATACACATAAAAATATATATTTTTATGTCATCCTTGTTATATTTTTAAACAATATAATATAGTTTACTAACATATTTAAATAGTTTTACATAATTTCTGTATTAATCGAAAAGTACAATTGATTTGCAACAATTGGTAAGTGCGCAACTCACTGTAACAATTTTGTCCACAGTTGTTATATTGTCTGCCTCACACATTAAAAAGACAACTGGAAAAATCTCCTTTAATATAGTTTATTTATTTCTTGCTAGTCCAATCACTCTCTCTACATTGACCCTCAAATAAGCTATTTTTCTAGTATTTTCGACTTCAACAGCTGATAGCTGCTTTTTTCCTCTTGTAAAGACTGGAATTTAACCTCAGCACACATAAGACCAACAGAATCGGCTATGTTAAAACCTTGGTCAGCAAACACTACATCCCCAGGGTTGAGTTTCTCATGGAGCCCACATTATTCTATAATATGTTTATCACTAGCTCTCCCACCCCATCCCTGGGAAATGTAAGTAATAACGCCTTGTGGAACAATGCCAATTAAATATTTAACAGTGTTATGACTTTTATAGTTGCTCCATGTCTGTGCTCTGCCCATAAGATTTGAAAGTTTTTCAATAAAAATTTCAAAACAGTTTATGATGACAGCTATCTTAAGTCCAAAGTGTTGTCTAAACGATAATGACATGGATTGTTGTAACTCTTTTCTTTCTGGCCAGAAGTTAGAGGTTTCATACTAACATATAATATGTGCAAAGTTTTCTTAAAAGTTTTTGACGCAACGGAATAGGAAATGTTAAACCGAAATGCTAAGTCTTGTAACGGGGTTCCAAGACGCAGCTTCATTAGCACAAGAATCACTTTCTGAAACTTAGATAGTCTTGAACGCGCTGTTAATGAAATATATGCTTCGACATGCTGAAACACAGCCAATAACACTTTGCTACAGGGCAAGCCTGTGTAATAAAGAACTTTCTCATCATCGGTAAAAGACTCAACCGTTATTTGAAACGACAAGAGCTTTTCCTTCAACTTAATATTCTCACTTAGAACTCGTCCATAATACTTCGTCAGGAATTCGCTTTCATTATTTTGCGCTGAGAGACTATCATCAATCGTAAGGAATTCGATTTCATTACAGGAATTTGATTTCATTATTTATTAACAGGACCTTTAAACAAAAAAGTGCATATTTTAGGCTTTGCAATTGGATCGCTGATGAAAATCTCACAAGTTGTTTCACTGGTAGCTCCCTCAGCAAAATGTAGCAGATCCTCTGCGACAGCAAACTTTTTTTTTTTCAGCTCTATTTTGCGCACAAGAATATCTAAAAATGGCAAAAACCTGTGAGTTAAGGAATGTCAATATTAAAGTTAACAGTCTACAAAAAAGTTGTCTAATAGACTGTGGACTACCATTTCTTTGAAAGCGTTACTTTATTTAATTTAAATTAATATAAAATATTATTGAAATTGATTGTGCAATAACAATGTAATGTTTTACTATAGATACCATTTTAGTCCAGTAACCTGTAAAGCACATACCTTGAAATTTTTAAAGTTTTAGGGAGAGTGGAGGTGCCTGTCTCTTTATCTTGTGGTTGCCTTTCTGATGCAGACAACAATAAACTAGGAACCCAATCTGGGTTGGTGACATCATACAATGCAGCTGATTTACCTATAAATAATAAATATAGCGTAAATATTAAAAACATATACATTTTACATATATAGATCTTTACAAGTAACATAATATGGCAAAATTCTATCAATTTCATACCTGAATTAAAGTGAGCAGAGCATACTTTCAAGAATATGATTGGTTCTTTTTGTCTATTAACTGCTGCAATCCATTCACAGCGCCTCTTAGCTGACAACTCTAGGGTTTTATTATCTTGATGCCTAATAATAGTGGGGAAGCTATGGAAAGACATCTTGCCACGATCTGCTCTACTTGAGCAACCATTGACAAAACAAGTACTTGGCATAGTTTTGCTAACAGGGGTAAAAAAATTTATAGTTTCTATGAAAAAAAAAACAATATTTTTAAAGGCGTTTTAAAACAATTTTTTTTTAATGTATAATGAAAATAAATAGACCAAACTTCTATAATTGAAAAATCTCTTAATTTAAACTTTTATTTTACCTATCAAATTCGAATTAGAGAAGTTGTATTTTATATAGTACACAATTCTAAAAAAAGTTGTAATGTATATTATTTTAAACGTGCTAGGCAAGCATTTTTTTGTCAATTTGAGCATATTTATAAGGTATATTTGAAAATCGATTTCTTAAAAATCAAAATTAATGAAAATGTTCAGAATGTTTATAGAATCAATAAAAAGTTTTGTTCTTAAGTCATTATTGAGATCCATTATTAAGTTCCAGTTGTTTACATTCATCATTGAATTAAGTGAAATCATTTAAAACTGCACATATCCAACACACTTTACCTTCAGTGGTAATTTATAGAAGTGTACATAAGGCCCACAACTAACAATATCTTTAAATAACAAAGAGTCATCTCTTCTAAAAAACTCATTGCACGCTTATCAAATAAATAAAATAGGTCTTCTAAAAATTATTGCTTGAAAGGATACATATATTCATTGAAAGTTTTTTAATACTTACAGATCTACTACTTATTTACTATTACTATTTATAGATTAAAATGCGGAAGTGGTGTAGTTATAGAGCGCTCGCCTCATAAACGAGTGGTTCTGAGTTCGATCCCCACCACGTCCCTGGTAGTACCG